CCCAAAAAAAAATAAAAATCTCACCTATGTCTGCCGAGTCATTGAGGTTGGATATGTTATTGGATGGGCGGAAGCAAAGACAGAATCTGGTTCCCATTATTGGATGAGGAAGCAAAGTCGTAGAGAGAGAGAGAGAGAGAGAGAGAGAGAGAGCTTGAAATTTAAAACATATCTCAAAAGTTTTAGCTGTTCTTGTAGACTTTAGGTTTCTACCAGTTTCCTGGGTGCTACTAGGAGACTAAGGAGAGGAGAGAGGGGGTTGAAATTCGTGGTCACCATTAATCTCAAGATTTGAAAAGTCGTGTTAATTATACGCATGAAAAATGAAATGAAATTCGAGTGGGAACGGAGACGAGAAGCGGAAAGACTCACGAAGTCAACAAGGGAAGCTTCCGTTGCATTTCTCGCTAGCAAATTACATTTGGATATACGATCATAACTCTTTGCGTTTTATGTGCGTAAGTCTTGTCTTCTTCCTCTACCCAAAAGCTTTAAACAACAAAAAGGTCCAAACAAAGTCATGAGTGGAGAGCAGGAAATATTAGCAAATAGCTACGTGGTTATCTTTCGGCTTTCAAACCTTAGGAACAAATCATTGGCCTGACTGTTCCAACCAACCCCTCGTCGGTAGCTACCTATCCTTTATAGGAAAATGCCAGGCACTTATGTTTACTAATTAGGAGGAATCAAATTGAGAATGAATTGAATTGAGAAGAATTAGATTCCGGATTCTTATTGAAGTTGTTCACTAAACCATATAAATTGAGGGAAGTTAGATTCCGGATTCATATTAAAGTTGTTTACTAAACCACATGGAATTGGGGTAGGAGTGGTAAAATGTCATTGTTGTTGGGTTAAAGTATATGACAAATTTGAAATTTTAAAAATTGTGTGAGGATATAATGGGTAAAAAATATAAACTCCTAATGGGTTATTTCTCCGGGGATTAAAATACGACCTCCCACCCAAGAATTGAATTCCTCCAAAATCAGGAATTCAATTCCTAATTTTGTGTGGGTCCCACTTACTTTTCAATTCCTTGATGTGAAGTAAACGTAGGAATCCTCATTCAATTCCTGATGAAAATTTCAATTCTTAATTAGTAAACACATCATTAAACAATTAAAAGACAACGCGTCTATGTAGCAAAAATAAGGACATTGACTTGTACCCAAAAAAAGAAGGATACTGACTAGAAAAGAAAACAAACACAAATGAATATATTGCATTCATAAATATTAAATAATGGGAGTTGTATCCATCAATGATACAATAATACATAGAGCACTAGACGCATGCATGACCAAAAGAAAGACAAGTTGTAGACCAAGGGACTGAATGAATACCGGAAAGTTCCTTTTTAGTGTTTTTCTATCTAAATGCGTTTATTAATACCATATAATGAAGTTTTAGCCCCCATAAAAGTTAGTATTTACCTATTTTTGTACTAATAATATTATACAACTCTCCCTATTTTTTGTGCATATGATAATTTTTATCCTTTTCTCGTTGTAGGTTTCCTCAAAGACCTCGTGGAAGAATTCAGAAAAACAAAAAACAAAAAACAAAACAAAACAAAACAAAACTATACTCACTAGAAGTTGAGTCACTCAAAGACCTCGCGGTATCTAGTCTAGAAAAGACATGTTGCATTGCATGATCAGAAACCCAAAAACATATATAGCAGAGGAAAACAAACAAGTAATTTGACTTCTGTTGAACCCTAGGGACCAAAATACATGAAAAGAAACACCAACACCAACCAAATATACAGTTAATCCTTTGGTGCTGCGGAGCAGAGTTCAAATATGCTAAAGAGTGACTGTTCATGACTGGATACAAGTTAGTTGAAAGAATTGGAAACTCCCCTCCCCAAACACTTTTCAGCTTATATATTTTTTACTTCCAAGGATGTGCCGGCTTTTAGAGCTTCCTCTGCATAATTGTCCAGCCCTGTGCTCTTTGACACTAAATAACTATGTCTCAAATGGAGGCACATTTCCACGTGGAATACCCATCAAAATGTATGATGGAACCTGCTGCAAAAACAAACCACACAGAGGATAGCCGCAGCATTAAGGAAAATCAGCTTTTCAATATAGGCAAAACAAATCAAATTTCAAAGCTATGATCTTACAAAACAAATAAAGTTGGGCAAACCTCAGTTTCTTTCTGAAGAGGAATGAGGGCAGTCAAAAGAAACTTGGCATTTGGCCTCTCAAGAGGTTCATGCTGCAAACACCGTGAAGCCAACTGCACTAACTTAGTTACATCGTCATTTGAGAACTGGCCTTCCAAGTATGGATCCATCAGCCTCAAGACGTTTTTACCACGTACGAGGTCAAGTGCCTTCCAAGAAAGGAAAAAGGATGAAAAGTATTTAGCTGGAGCCTCCTTAATATGACAACTGGTCTGTATGGAATTGTAATCATAATCCAGTTCATAAACATTTAAAGCCAGTTGTATGATCAGGAGATGCTGAGAATGAGGCACAACAAGATATAGCTTTAACTTAAAGCACATTTAAACACAAGTTGCCTTTTGTAATATATATTCTTGTTGGTCAGACTTAATGGAACATATTAAGGAAGAAGAAAGTTACAAAGCTTGGGGGGGTATGTGCACCGCAGAGCAGATCAAACAATATGGTCCCAAAGCTGTAAACAGAACTTTCTGGTCTCAAACGTCCTGGCAAACAGAAGATGGTACTTTAGCTCAACTAAATACTTCATCAACTTCAGTGTGTTCAAAATTCATGCATCTGTTTTCCATTGGATGATTTATGGTTTTACCTGTCCAAGAGTTTTCTGGAGGGTAGACAAGCAGGTTGGTAGTATAGTTCTTGACATCCTGGCTATTCTTGAAAAGACCAAAGCAGGAGAACCTAGTATTTGAATACTGTTTTACATCGACTGAAGTAATGACGGAATTACTTGTCATCAAGTATTCTGGAGGGACAAAATCCAGGCTGGTAATATTATTGTTTTTTGCCATCCTTGCTATTCTTGAAAAGGCCAAAGCAGGAGAGCCTAGGATTTGAATCCTGTCAAATGCATGACTCAATGTAAGGAACAGCGAACAAATTTATTAAATACAGTTTAAAGAGAGCAAAAGGCCCCAATTACCCAATCAAACAGGACTCTGGAAGCACTTAGATCATGGTATAATGTCTGCCCTTTGCTGCTGCAATATTCCAAAGCTTGTGCCAGAAGCAAAGCCACTCGCAACCTTATTGTCCATGGCATGGGCTGGGTCTCCCCTACACCAATTTAACCAATTTAATAAAGTTTCTACTTCTCTTATTTCAGCCGAAGTTGCAGTTTGATTGCTTCAAAAATGTACTAAAAGAATGTGAAATCTTGAATGACCTGTTGCCTCAACAAACCAGACAAACCCCACCTTCTTCAGACACATTCCAGCACATCGAAGTAAGCCAAATTTAACAGTAAGATCAGACTAGCACAGCAAAAGAATTTTAAATTTTGAGAGGAAGTTACAAAGGAAAAGATGCTTAGAGAGAGTTTCATTAGGCATGAACTCAGCCACAAGCAATCTCTCATCGCCTTTGAAGCAACACCCTATCAAATTTGCTAAGCGCTTGCTCCTCAGCTGCCCCACAGCTCTAGCTTCCGCCTGCAACCAAACCCAGCAGCATATATACTCTCACATACAGGAGTTATACAAAGCAAAAATAGAAAATCTAGCCAACTTCATACGTACAAGAAATTGGCAGCAATCAGGCCAATCAGATTGGTTGAAGTGCTTAACAGCCACCAAAAGGCCATCTTCCAGCTTCCCTTTGTATACCACATTGGAAGCTCCCTCTCCGCCCTCAGAGACAACATTTCCTGACAAGAATCCTAAAGTGGCAGCTTTCAGTTGGTCCAAGCTGAACTCGGTGAAACTGGGCAACGAGTCCTTTTCATTTTGGCTTCCGTTCTCTGCATATTACAAAAGCAGAGTCAAAACTTTCTTGGGAATGTGAAAGAAAATTTGAAAAAAAAAAAAAACAATGGTAACTAACAAATGAAAGCTCACCTGTGTCTGGTGAATCGTTGAGTTTGGACACGACATCAGACGGCCAGAAGCTATCAGAAGGCTGTAAGCAAAGAGAGGATCCGGCTCCCATTGGCTGATAAATTCAATCCAAGTGAGAGAGAAATGGCTTGAAACTTAAAAAATGGGGGGGCAACTTGACATAGAACCACATCACTTTAACGAAGGTCAAAGGCTCAAATTCAACAATGGAGACTTCCGTGCAATAACATCATAGACTTTTTCATTGTCTTGTTTTTTTTATTAAATCCAAAGCATTTTATTAAGACCAATGGTGCTGCCTCATTGCAATTTTATATTTCCTTCTTATCCCATGAGCCACCTTCCTCTAGGGGAATGCCAAATGATAAGGAAAATTAAATAAGTAAATGATAAAGAATAAGTGATCTATTATTCATTTCAAATTCCCTGTTTTAATTCATAATCGAAGAATATGTATGATTCAGAGGACATCTTACATGATGATAAACTCAAAAATCTAAATCAAATGAATAACAGCAGAGCAAACAAACAATAAATTTTGACTTGTATAGATCAAAATAATTAAAAAGATACACCAAACCAACGTAAAGATTGTTACAATTAATCCTCCGTTGCTGCAGAGCAGAACTCAAATGTCAAAGTGGGAAGATAGAAAAAGCTAGATACAATTGTAAATGGAAGAAGAGGGAAAACACCTATACGTTCCATCTTTTAGAGTTTCCTGTGCATCATTGTCCATCCATATGCAATTCTACTAATAACTTTGTCTAACTTAAGTCCAGATTATGACCACACACACACAAAAAAAACTTAAGTCCAGATGAATACGTATATGGATTTTGATGAAAGAACTTGTGACATGTAAACTTTGTATTTCTAAATTTGTGACCTACTTCCGATTGTCTTCAATCACCAAAACCAAGCATTTAAAAAATGATTGTTTAACAAGATTATCAAATCCAAAGAAACATAATGTTGATCTTAAAAAGATCATCCACAATACACCAAAAACCACAAAAAATCATCTTCACTCATTCATATCATCCTCGTCATCATTAAGAAGGTCATCATCCAAAACCAAACTACCATGATTTGAACCAATATCATTATTATTAGCATCTTCATCCAAGGGACACTCCAACCAACTCATATCATCTTGATCCCTCATCAACAAGCATCCCCTTTTTGGAGCCTTGCTTTTTCGCATATCATTACCTATAAATATGAAAAAGTTATAATTTGATTCTATTATTCTAAACAAAGAAATGTAGTGAATCACTAAAAAAATTTTAATACTTACTTGATCTTTCAACACGACCTCATTTGTATCGAATAATAGGTGGAGAAGGGATACGCTCATTAAAAGAAGGCTCACTAGGAGCAGTAGGAGGATCATCAAGAACAGACTTAAGAATAATTGACTCTCGAGGTTGTAGACCACTTTCATAGGTAGGAATTGGCACATTCCTAATGGCATCAACATCAAATATGTCTTCCTCTTCTATCCAAGAAGGATCAAATGGAAGAGATGGTTCCTCAACCTCCGTTATCCATTCATCATCGGAGGGAATATCATCCACTAATATTGGATCAACCTTTCTCTTCCTTTGAATACTTCGTTGCTTTAGAGCCGTATTATATTTCACATAGACTAGAGCATTTAGCCTTTTTTGTTCAAGTCTATTTCTTTTCTTTGTATGAATCTAAAATTAAAATAAAAATAAAAACAACATTAGACATTTAGATTAGAACTAAAAGCATAAAATATTAAAATATTATAAGACAAAGAATTAATTGAAGGAATTTACCAATTCAAAGGTGCTCCAATTCCTCTCACACCCAGATGCACTACAAGTAAGGCTAAGGACTCGAACAGCAAACTTCGTCAACTCCGGTGTCTCCCTCCCAAAACGCAACCACCAATTGACTAAAAGAATCCAACAATAAAAAAACTATAAAGATCCAACAATAAGAATTCACAGATAATTCAATTTTCAAATCCAATAATAAGAGTTCACAAATGAATAGAAGGACCATACTTGGTGATCGCAATTTCCGGCATTTCACTGCTACTTCACTTCCAAAATCTCCTTCTGCATGAATATAATTGTCCAATTGGCAATCCGCTTGAACGCGTTCATCTCCACTCAACATCATATCCATGCATGCATACAAACCTTCCCTCACTTCTTTAGAGTTTGTGAAAGTTTCTTCATAATGCAATTGCGGGTTCAAATAATAACCAGCAGCTTGCAAAGGGTGATGACATTGTGGACCCCATCTTTTATCAATTTTATTCCAAATTGGTTTATATTTTCTCTCCACATTTCCACAATTGAAGGCAATCTTCTCCCTTGCTGCATCCATCAACTCATAAATATAGCCCATTGCAGGTCTCTCTTCTAAATCAACCTCCCTTAAAACAGAGATAAGTGGAATAACCACCTTGATGCAAAAGGCAATGTGAGACCAAAAATTAGCATCATGTAGTACAATTTTACGAGCCACAACTCCATCCTTGTTTTTAGTGAATGGACCTTTATGCCATTCTTGGGAGGTGAACATAGACATAATACCTCTCTTAGCCTTATAAATGCTCTGAAGTGTGAGATAAACAGTGGCAAAGCGTGTCACCGCTGGACGGATGATCTCTTTATTGTCAGTGTAATGCCTCATCAAAGAAAGGACCCATGAATGTCCATAAATGAACTTCACTAATTGCTTACCCTTTTGAATAATATTTTCAAAAACTGTCAACTTGCTAATATCTTCCAGCATTAAATCAATGCAATGGGCGGCACATGGAGTCCACCACAATTTCTTCCTCTTCTCCATAAGCTTTTTCCCCGCATTCTTGTAATTTGATGCATTAGTTGTAATCACTTGAACCACATTCTTTTCTCCTATTTCTTCTACTACATCATCCAAGTACTTGAACATCAAGTCTTCTTATTTTATTGTATCAGAGCCATCAACTGATTTCAAGAACCAAGTCCCTCGAGGACTATTCACTAGAAAGTTAAGAAGAACCCGATTTTTTCCATCTGTCCAACCATCTAACATGATGGTGCACCCATATTCATTCCAAGCGTTTTTATGTTCAACCATTGTTGCTTGAATATCTTCAACTTCTTGCCTAAGGATCCAAGTCTTCAACTCATACATGGAAGGGGGTTTGAACTCAGGACCGAAATTGGAAATTCCTTCCATCATGGACAAATAAAAAGGACTATTCACGGCATTGAATGGAATTGCACAATTGAAGAACCAACGCCCAATCTTTCGGCACACATCATTCCTTTCATCCTTTTTTAGCTTGGAATTCAGTGTAGCTTGCCGAGTTCAGATGACACATACGTATCAATGGGTCCTTCAGGCCTAGGGGGAGCTAGAGAACTCTCGCCACTTGGAGTTGGAGCACTCCCACTCCCACTCCCACTCCCACTCCCACAACCAATTCCATCTTCGGATTGTTCCATTTCATTGGAAGCATTACTCCCAAATTGGCCTAGCTCACGAAGCGATTCTTTTTTCTTTTTTTGGACAGATAGCTCATGAAGTGATTTATTTCGCTTCATACTGATTGCCTTAAAAAATTTCAAATAATCACTACATTTGGCTTTGACATTTGGTGGAACCTTTGGACAAGGCTTCATACCATGGTGAGTATGAGCTAAGTGATTTTTGAGCCTTGTAATAACTCCGGTGCATTGTTGATTACAAAAAGAGCACCTCAAGTATCTTTCTCCTTCAACTTGTATCCCCCACTTCCAAGCAAAATCCTTTTTACTTGTCATTATCAATTCGCAGCAACAATATCAAACCAAATACCAATTCTTCCAAAATAAAAAAATACAAGCAAAATCCTTTTTACTTGTCATTATCAATTCGCAGCAACAATATCAAACCAAATACCAATTCTTCCAAAATAAAAAAAAATAAAAAAAACCAACATACAAAATCTGCAAACAAAAATCAACATAACTAAATATGCCACAAAAAAACAGTATAAACAAATTTTCCAAAAAAACACAATGTGGTAATTAAACAACTGTAAACTGTGCTAAAGAGATACTAAACTAATGTATAATCATATTCTAATTAAGAGATATCGGTCAATGGGAATTGCTAAGAATTATATCAAAAGAAAAAAAAGACTTGGAAAACAGCAATACAGGAATGAGGAATTGGTGTTTCATAGCTTTATATACATCAATGAGCTAAGTAAAGACATGCTGGAGCTTAAGGGAAATTATGCAGGATTGTTTCTCAATTTGCGGAGGTCGAAAGAGAGAGACAAAAGCTAATGAATGTTCGAATCGCTCCTCAGGAGCCTCTTATCAAAAAAGAAATCAACAGTAGCCTATGAACCCTCACAAAATCAAAATGAAAAAAATAATAATAATAAAAGAAAAGAAAAGAGGAGAAGAGAAGAAAAACCTGGGTTTGATTTTCTACTCAATTAGTGGTACATCACAGCCCAATAGCTTGAAGATTTTCCGAAAACTCACTCAATGTTTGCTTCAGATTATGCGGAGAATTTGCGGTTGGGGCTGGAGGCGTTTTTGGGAGGTGAAATGCTCGCGAGTCTTGACTGGAGGCGCGTCTGGGTTTTAAAAATTAACCCTAATATAGAAGAGCATCGCGTACGCTACAAAGTGCGCAAAATAGCGCACTTTGCGAACGCTATTCAGTATGTATGACGCCCCAAGCATTTTATTTGTCTTGTTTTTTTTTTTAATCCAAGTCCAAAGCATTTTATTTACAGTTTTATATTTCCTTCTTATAAGAGCCATCTTCCCGTAGAGGAATGCCAAATGATAAGGATAATTAAATAATATATAAGCAAATGAGATGCATCATAAGGCACCTATTATTCATTTCAACGCCCCTGTTTTAATTTATAATCCGAAGGAAATTTTACATGATACAAACTCAAAAATCGAAAATCAAATAAAACACAGCAGAGCAAACAAACAATAAATTTTGACTTCTATAGATCAAAATAATTAAAAAGATACACCAAGACCGACATAAAGATTGTTACAATTAATCCCCTGTTGCTGCAGAGCAGAACTCAAATGTCAAAGTGGGAAGATGGAAAAAGCTAGATACAATTATAAATGAAAGAAGAGGAAAAAACACCTATACAGAGTTTCAGCTTTTATTTTTTTTTACTTCCAACGACGTTCCATCTTTTAGAGTTTCCTGCGCATCATTGTCCATCCCTAGGCTCTTTAGGGCAGCTGCTTGAAGATAGAAGGCAGTGGGCCATTCAGGGTTTATTACTAGGGCTTGCATAGCATCTCCAAGAGCTTCTTGTGCCATATCATTCATCAAGTAACATAAGCAACGTCTAGCAAACACAGTTGGCGATATCATGGTCCCACCATCAATGAACTGCAATGAAGAGCAACAAGATCCACCTAGGAGTAAGATGAAAAGTGAATGCAATCCTACTCTATCTGTCATATGCATAGTAGTAGGCTTGTAAAGCTAATATTTCCTAAGGAATTATCATTTCTAATCGTGTGAGGTTATCTGATTATACAAAGTCATAGATTTGTATTTGCAAGACAGAAAATTTAAATTCTTGTAACCCCACTACTAATAACTTTGTCTAACTTAAGTCCAGATGAAGAAGCAAATTATATCATTAATGCTTTCAACTGAGTGACCGCCCTTGCAATATCACCATGTATTTGAATATGTATCTGGATTTTGATGAAGGAACTTGTGACATGCAAACTTTGCATTTGGATAAAATCTAATCAGATTCAAATATTTCTAATTTTTTTTATTGATTCCTGTCAAAAAGTATAAATTTGTGACTTACTTCTGTGTAAGAATCTATCGCGGTAACAAAATCCTTAGATCGAAATGCAGCATCCCCATGCTTCTTAGAATTCAATGTCTCTTGTATTTGATTTGTCCACATTTGGAAAGAAAGCTGCAAGGTAACTTCAAAGTAAGGGCAGTGCATTACACAAAATTAACATAAAAAGTTTGCTCATACACATAACTGATGCAAAAATTGATGACGGAAAGGATAGTAATAATGGTTGGCAGATGTCAGAAAATAGAACATAGAAAAGTTAGAATTGAGGATCACTAACTTCATTTGCAACCCCCTCATCATCCTTGTATCCAAGCTTCTCCAGTATTTCATGTATTGCAGTAAGATCCAGTCTCGAGCAAGCTTCACCTAGAGGTGATAGCAATGTCTGATTCAGAGGCGCATTTCCATGCGGAATACCCAGCAAAACATATGATGGAACCTGCTACAAACCACTACATGAGATGATATAATTACTTCTATTTGCAGCATTACTGCAAATGAACTTTCCAAAACAGAGGCAGCAGAAATCAAATTTTGAAGCATATAGTAAAGAAAAAATAAAGTTGGGCATCAGCACACCTCAGTTTCTTTTTGAAGAGGAATGAGGGCAGTCACAAGAGACTTGGCATTTGGCCTCTCACGAGGTTCATACTGCAAGCATCGTGAAGCTAACCTCACCAGCTCAGTCCCATCGTCATTTGAGAAATGACCTTCCAAGCACGAGTCTATCAGCATCAAAAAGTTTTTGCCCCGTATCAGGTCAAGTGCCTTCCAGAAAGAAAATTGGAAATTATAATTGTAATCAGAATCCAATTCATAAAATTTTAAGCCAGTTATATAATCAGAAAGTGATGAGAATGCGACACAACCAGATAGGTTTGACTTAGACCAATTTTAAACTCAAGTTACTTTTGTAGGGCGTAATTTTCCACTGGATGACCAAGAAAAAGAGAATCAGAGCAACCATTCACCTAGAATTTATTAATGAAAAGAAAAGTTACATGACTTGGAGGGATATGTTTCCCGCTGAGCAGATCAAGCAACAGGGTACCAAAGCTGTAAACCAAACTTTCTGGTATCACTCTTCCTGCCAAACAGAGATAAGCTTTAGCTCGACTAAAGACTTTTATCGAATGAGGCCAAGCTAATGCATAGAAATATAGAAGCATGAAGCGCTTTTGCAAATGAGAATGCTACCAGACCTCAATTATCAAGGAATTGAGGTCCCTCTTAATACATGTAGTCTTCATCCCAAATAAAGACTTTATCACCCTATGATGTGTGTTCAGAACTCATGCATGAAAATATGGAAGCATTAAGCCCTTTTTCCAATGAAATTTCCTGGGATAAGGAAATATGCAAAGGAGATCATGAATGACATAAACACATAGCCAGCCCAAACGGCCACTACTCTGCCATCCCTGATCGAATCATCAGTATGGTGGCTACTTATCAACTCACTAATATGAAAATGCATTAAAGGGAACTTCAATTGCTCCACTCATTAGTTGAGGTATGCATAGCATTCTCGCTTGTTTTTCCCCTCCAGTTATTTTCATAAAAGATAATCTTTGCAAAACAAACGGAAGTTTTAACTCTAGAAAGCATTACGTTGGGAATTTACATGGGAAGACATGACAAAACTATGTTTACAGGGAGGAGGCAAAAACAAAAAGATGGATGGGGATCATGATGTGTTTTTCCCTCTCAACTTTCCCACCCATCTCCCTCCTATCAAACTTAGTGTAAAAGTTATAACATCAATATTGTTTTCAATTGGCTGAAGCAGTGATGGGATTATTACCTGTCCTCAAGTACTCTGGAGGGGTGAAAGCCAGGTTGGTACTATAGCTCTTCCCATCTTTGCTATTCTTCATTAGACCAAAGCAGGAGAGTCTGGGATTCCCATCCTGTCATTGACAACGTGTAAGGAATGGCCAACAAAAGATTACATCCAATTTTGAAAAATGAAAAGGACCAAATTACCTGATCGAATAGGACTCTGTAAGCATTAAGATCATGGTACAATGCCTGCCCTTTACTGCTGCAATAATCTAAAGCTTGTGCAAGATACAAAGCCACTCGCAACCTCATCGCCCATTTCATCGGCTGGGTCTCCCCTGCACCAATTTAACCAATTTACTACCTTTATTTATTTCAGCCCAAGTAAGTAGCAGTTTGATTACTTCTAAAAATGTACTTTAAAAAATCAAAATCTTGAATGATCTGTGTCCTCAATTATTATACACCTACTTAACATCAAAATAAGCCAAATTTAACAACATTAGAGGGGAACTTACAATGGAAAAGATGCTTAGAGAGAGTTTCATTAGGCATGAACTCAGCCACAAGCAATCTCTCATCACCCTCGCCGCAGCACCCGATCAAATTCGCCAAACGCTCGTTCCTGAGCAGCCCCACAGCTCTAGCTTCCTCCTACAACCAAACCCACCACATATCTTCACACACAGAATCATAAATCAAAAAACAAAATAAGAAAGAAGCAAAATTTAGTCAACTTCCATACTCACCAGAAATTGGCGCGAATCGGGCCAAGCTGATCGGTTGAAGCGCTTAACAGCAATCCAACGGCCATCGTCGAGCGTCCCTTTGTAGACCACATTGGGAGCTTTCTCTCCATGCTCGGAGACAACGTTCTCGGACGAGAATCCTGACGTGGCAGCTTTCAGTTGGTCCAAGGTGAACTCACTGAACCCAGGCAGCGAGTCCTTCTCATTTTTGTTCCCATTCTCTGCAGCTCACCAAAAACAAAGTCCAAATTTTCTCGGGAAAGTGACAGAAAAACAAAAGGTTGAAACGAACAAAAAGAGTAAGAACAAGAAAAGCTCACCTATGTCTGAAGAGTCGTTAAGATTGGATTTGATGTTGGACGGCCAGAAGCAAAGAGATAGCTTGGAGCAACGAGCTCCCATTGGCTGATGAATCCAATCCTAGAGAGAGAAACAGCTGGAAAAGTTCAAATGAGTATCTCTCTGATTTCCTCTCTCTAGAAAGTATGGCTCTCTTTCTATCACTTTCCTGGGGACTAGTAAGAAGGTTTGAGAGGAGTTTTTGGAGGAGAGATGGATAGGGTAGGAAAATGATGGAGAATGAAGAAGAAAGATGGATAAATAAAAACCAAGACAGGCATATTTCTCTTTTGCTCTTTTGTTTATTTTTTTATTTTGTGTTTGGACGGAGAGAAAGTGTGAGAAAATTTCTAAACCCAAAAGTAACTTTTTGGATCCAATGTTTTCTTTGTTTTTCTGTTTCCTTCTTTCACACCTTTCCTTCGTTTTCTGCATTTCGCTCTTCGTTTTTTTCTTTTCGTTTTTAATCCCCTTCTTCGCTGTTTCTCATTTTTCGTTGCCTTTTCTTTTCCCTTTTGCTTTGGTTACGTTTTTTTATTTTCTCTTTCCATTTTCGCTTTTATATATTATCAATCTATACATGAAAAGTATTAGAGCTACTAAATTCTTCTCCAATTTTAGAAACCAAATAGTTTAATAATTACAAAATAGAATCTTACTCATAAAAAATAAGTAAAGTTTAAAATAAGTCAAAAATATCAATAAGATGGCATTAGTCGAATTCAAAACTTTGAACTTTGTTAGTATTAGTTAATTAAAAATTAATCCTTATTTACGACATATGTTGCGTTTCACAGAGAAATTTATCGTCAAATTGTGAATCTGTATTACGTAAATTTTAATATAAATATGTGATCTAAGAAAGGAAATATTAATGTCATGGATTACATGTTAGACTTATTTTCTAGTCAAATATTACATCTTAGACTAAGTTTAGTTAAAGTTGCAGTTATGGATTAAATTTAATAATGTTGTGTCATTTTCACCCTAACCTTTGAAACCAAAAGGACTGAAAACGGTGAGAACAACCTAGCCTAGCATATCAAATTTAAAGCTGACTTAGTACAAATTGTATATCTTCTCTGTCAACCCAAAATTTTAATTAAAAGAATGCAGTCAATTTATTTAGTTTAAGCGAAGTTGGACAGTTCAACTACGCAAATAAAGAACACATCCACATTTGTGTGCGCATAAAATATGAAATTAATAAAGCAAAATGCAGTGCTTAAGCCAGACATGCCTCAAATGATGAAGAATGCATTCAACCGGATATCAGGATCTTCTTGACCAACTTTTCCAGCTCTCTTATGCAGAAAATAAATAAATATTTTTGAAAAAAAAGTTGTATATTATCATATAAAATAGCTGTTTACAACCCTAATTTTATATTAATATGCTAAGATTTCAGCACAGACAGAAGAGGGGGTTCTCACACACACAATCAATATACAATGGGGGTTCAAACTTGAGATCTCTGTTCTAGAAGTCAATACCTTTTTTCCACTATAATAGACCTCATTGGTATTTTTTTTCTTTTTTTTAGTGGTGGTGTTCTTGGATTTGGGAAGCATGGGAAAAAGATGAGGTCTTTTTGGGTCTTATGAAATGTACCTTAATTATATTATATCCTAAATTTAGATGCAAGACCACGTTAGCTCGTGGACCACATGCATAGAATATTTTCAACAAAAGGTGTCCTGACCATACCCATTCATAATTTCATTCATCTGCTTCACTATGATCCTTATTTTTTTTTTACAAATGTGGTAGGTGAGGTCAATCATAATAATATATCCTAAACTAAGATAAGGTTATAAGGAATATGTATTCGAAATATTCAATTAGAAGAGATTAAGAATTTAATTCTTGATGCACGCTGGAGTCGCGTGTTGAAAAGAAGTATATGGCAAAGTTTAATGACTTGCATCAATCCAATGTGGTTATAAAATCCCACATCACCATCACCACCATGACCAAAGTTTATTTAATATACATGGTCCAACTATTTCATACTCTGGATCACATTGTCGTATCACATAATGTGATGTGTGATGTTACTAACTCAATATTAGGGGGTTATTGAGTTGATATGTCATGAACTTAAGTAGATACGCGTGTTATATTATGACTGAACTGATAACACCTGTTATATTATGTGATTATTGGAGTTGTTCGAGGCATGTAAAACCTTTCCACATCACCCAAATACACTAGGCATGAAACAATTGGTTTCTTTTTCTTCTTCTATTTTTTTCTTGGATCATTTGTATAAAGTTATATATACAGACATCATGAGAACAGGATGAGATAAGAATCCACTTACGAGAAAAGGGTTTAGGGTTACACTATAGGACACTGACGAATTTGGAAAATTTGAATGTGAAAACCCACAGGCCAAAACAAAGAATCTGGAATTCCATGGATTTGCCATTTTACTTTCTTGTACTATTTATTTCCCAAAACAGTTGCTCAGAAAACCAGAACTGAAGGCAGCAACGTACCTTTTTCCATTTCAGCAAAACATCCTTCCCAGAGAGGAAGTCCATGCAAATGACATAATTGCTATCTTTTTGATACATTTGACATTGGGAGGGATGAACAGAGTTTAGATATTATGTTGGCACTAAAAGTTAAGAGACTTGCAGCTAAAAAGGAAAAAGAAACAGTCGCTCAGATAGTGAAGGGAAAGCAAGCAAGAGAGGCATGTGATGTAACAAGAGCTGTCTCCAATATCATGCTTCAACAACCTATGAAAAGAGAGAATATACATGGGAAAAAAAGAAAGGGCACTTGGAAAGCAAAAGGGTTGGTGGTCCTTGTGGGCCATGAGACAAGAAGCATTATTAAATTGCATAATTGGGTCATGCCAGCCCTAAATTGCTTCCTCTAGTTACTGTGCCCTTTGAGAATAATTCTAAGCCCTCTTGTCTTGTATTGTATGTGATGCCTCTCCCATTCTTCACCCCACACAACCTGTTTTGTGGACCAAATTTTGAAGCAATCTTTTTAAACATGACAACCTGGTGCTCCAACACAATGACTTGGATTTCATCCATAATTACCACTTTTCTAGACTCATTCTTGTGCATACAATCTCTATAATTCATTTCTGCGATGATGACGACAAAGATGATAATGATGATGACTATGATGACAGTATATGTATGAGTAAGAGTTAGCTGCACAAATATGATATGGGTGACACTAAACAGTGAAAAAGTGGTTACTCATGAGCATACTAAAACCTAAACCATTCCATTTCCAGCAATAATACAAATTACGTTTATCAGCCTCGCTAAAGAGACAATATTGCATCTGTTGAAGCAACTTAGGACTTTTAACAGCAGCAAAGCCATCTTCAGCTTGTGCTGCTCATCTATGTACCATATAATGCTAAGTATGTTCCTATTGCGAAACTTTAGATTTGTCGGTCCTACTATCTGGAGACATGCATTACAAATGATGTTTGCATCCACAAAATGAGGTCAAACCAAATGGGACAATAAGAAATATTTACTGGTTTTCCAGACTCAAGTGGTAATGTTGGCAGAATTTCCATTCCGGAATTTGTCAAGCTCTTCTCTGTTCTTGCTTTCCTTATCTCTGCTGCTTATTGGTAGCAGTTGTTGAGATGTAGAACCAAGGGACCGATCAGGCAATTCTGTGAAGGAGAAGAATACAGTCAGCACATACACACCTTTGGGTATTCTAAAGAGCTTGACAATTACTGCCCATAGAAAGTTCTGTTTTGTTCTAAATATACAAAACTGAATCAAATTTATACATGTTCATGATCTAACAATAAAATGGAATCCAGAACAAATTTTACCCATTTTTAAGAGGGAGAAAAAATTACTGAAATTGCATTTTGCTAACCTGGCAATTTTTGGTCAATAAAGAACACTACCAAATTTACAGTGTACCTGCACGGCAATATAAAACTTATGTTCGACCAATAGATTATTAAATATTCCAGTAGAGTAATATCAAAAGCATAACAGGATCCATCTCTCACCAGGCAACAACAATGTCAACAGTGTAATGTTTGCGAGATGCTAGAATCAGGAGGCTCTGAATAACAGCAACTAACCAAGCAATCTGCTTAATGCACCTGTAATGATAAGCCGCAGTAGTGTCAAAATTTTATACTAGTTTATCCTTTTAGAAGATATCCTTAGAAAAGTGAAATTGACTAATGACTCAAACCCCCAACCCCTCGGACATCAGTACACGGATTGCTTTACTTTCCTCCTTTGACATCATTATTGGGCAACCAGATGCAACAGAGGACAACAGCCCCCCCACCCCAAAAAAAGAAATAAGAACGGAGTTACCTCTTTGTTCCATATTTCTGATATGTGCGCACAAATACTAAGGTAAAAATCATGTGTGATGAAAAGATCAAATCACCACAACCATACATTACTCCTCGGGGAACTGCACAATCATGCAAATCATATAAGCATGAAGAAGATTATAATTAAAAGATGAATAATTTAAACCTACAGTTGATTAAGAGCACTTCAAGTGCACTCTCTGGAGGAGGCAGCCTGGCAAGTTTTGAGCCCTGAAAGAGACAGTTGTACCTGATTGTAAAACGTCGTTTAATAACAACTACTTAATGATTATTGATTACAGCGAACTAACAACCGAAATTGCAAACTTCTATAAACATTACCTCACGGCAATGATAGTTTGGACCAGGAAGCAGAGTTGAATAGAAGGTTATAATCCGGAGCATTTGAGAGACCTAAACAAAATGCAACATATACGCAAAGAATTTGTCAGAAAATATAGTAGAAAAACACAGGATACTGTTAATCCATTGATCCATGAATCAGTTCACGAGTCAAAACTTCAAAAAAAATAAATAACACATAAATCATGCATTCTTTATTCATATATGGAAGACTGTCCTTAGTGCTATTCCCAGTCAGATGCTTCAGAAAATGAACCAAGCTCAAGAACTAGTATCATATAAGCAGGACACGTAATCCAAGAACATTGGGTTGAAAGAGAAAAATACAGATGACTTTGTAGTTAATGTAAGCATATTCACCAAATTTTCATCGACGTCGAGATTTATTGCGTACCAGAAGATTCAAAACACTAGGGAAAATTAAAAAGGATTTATAACACATATATGTAGCATGTGATGATGATATGGCTACTGATTAAACTGTTACCTGATAAGGGCCCATACTAAACCAAAAGGGAAAACAGTTTCAATGGTAAGCCTTTATAATGCCTAAGCAAAAACTCAAGTGTTTCCAGCAAAGAACCAAGGACATATGCAACCTAGGTGAATGAACTTCCTGAAGAGAGAGAGCAATAATGAAGATCTAAAAGGAAGAGTTTAAGCAGCTAAGGGTGTAGTCTAGCACATGTAAACAGCAAAACCAACATTGGTAAATATCAGCTGTACTTACGCCTAAATAAGCAAATACTCTGCACCATATCAGAACTGTATATATCTTTTTGTACTGGAAAACAAAGGGGTGAAAAGTCCACTGCAA